GAGGGAAGAGGTTTTGGTGATATAGTTGATAGTGAGAGTGATACTTACTCTTCAAGTTCACAAAGCGGATTAATGGCGAGACAAGAAAATGATGTTTTGTTTCGTGAGCTTTGAAATCCGGAGGATTATGTGCTCACGGGAGGGATTTTGCTACCCGTCACAGAAACCAACTTCTCAATCCATCCACAATATACTAGAATTGTCCAATCAGAGCAATTTTCCGGAAGTTCAAGTGAGGACCCTATTGAACATTTGGACCGATTCCTTGAATTGTGTCCAATGATGCAAACCAATGAAGTGAGTCAAGACTACATTCGTATGCACCTTTTCCGGCAATCATTGATCGGACGACCAAAGAAATGGCTAAAGCAAGTAAATTCTAACACTCTCACGACATGGAAGGAGGTGGTAAAGGCATTCTTGAAGCGATTTATCTCCGAGGAGAAGACCGCCGAAATGAGAAGGAAAATCGCATCATTTAAGCAAGAAGCCGATGAAAGTCTTAGTGAATCTTAGGAGAGATTCAAAGAGTTGGTGCAAGCGTGTCCCTACCATGAGTACAATCAAGGGTTCTCATGTGATTTTTCTACGACGGATTGGAGCCCATGTCAAGAGCCAATTTGGATGGGGGGGCGGGTGGTTAATTAATCAAAATCCCTCAAAATCAAGTTCAAGCCACAATAGAAGAGGTAGCAAAGAATTACTCTAGGGGGGCCGAATAAGAAATGCTCCAAAGAAAGGTGGTATTTACGAATTGGAGAAAGTTGATCGATTACAACATCAAATTGATCAACTAACAAAAGGGCTTTCCAAGTTGAACACGAGTGTGAATGCAAGTTCAAGCGGTGGAGCAAGCTCCTCTCAAAATAACTCTTTCTCTTGTCAAAATTGTGGAGGAATGAACCATAATACATCTTATTGTGGATGTTTGATCCCCGAGCATGTAGCGGCATACAACACAAGGCAAGAGGGATTTAGAGGAAGCGGTGGTGGAGTATCTTGGAGACAACCACCACCTGGGTTTGCATCTCAACCTCAACAATGGAACCAACAAGCTCAACCTACCTACAACTCTAACCCTCAATATCAAAATCCACCTTCATATGAACCCCAAAACCCAAGAGGAAGCTATCCAAGGAACAACCAATACAACAATCAAACCTAAGCACCTCAAGGAAATCAAGAACAAGCACCTCAAGTGGAGCTAACACAAACTCAACTCCTTCAAGCCATGCATGCTCAAATGCAAACTTTTGGGCAACAAATGCAAGAGATAAGAGCTCACAACAAGATGGTTGATTCAAAACTAGCTCAATTGGCCGAGAGAACCGCTTTTAATTCACCATCTACTCTACCGGAACAACCACAACCTAACCCATCTCACAACTCAATATCCGATACTTGCAAGGCAATCACATTGAGGTCGGGAACTTCCTATGAAGGACCAAATGAGGGGGATAGTGAGGAAAATAAGGGAGGAGAGGAGAGTGTGAATGAAAACAAGGGAGGTGAGAAAGAAAAAGTTGATGAGATATAAAGATGATCGGAGAAGAAGAAGCTTGAAAATGAGAAGACAACTTCAATTCCTAGTGAGGCTAGGAATCTTAATGGACCGGTTCCTTTTCCCGGTCGGCTTGCGGAGAGGAAGTTTAATGACAAGTTTGCAAAATTTCTTAGGGTCATGAAGAATTTGCACATCAACCTCCCTTTCCTTGAAATTGTGACACAAATGCCATCTTACTCCAAGTTCCTCAAAGATATTCTCACCAACAAGAGGAAGCTCAATGATTAGCTTATCACCCTTCCACATCAAGTGAGTTCTCTTGTCCAACATAAGATGCCCAAGAAGTAAAAAGACCCAGGAAGTTTCACTTTGCCGGTGAAAATTGGGAACATGGAAGCCAGGGACGCCTTAGCCGATCTTAGATCAAGTGTTAGTTTAATCCCTCTATCCATTTCTCAAAAACTCAATATAGAGATGATCCCTACTAGGAAGACAATTCAATTGGCCGATCGGTTGGTGAAATTACCTTGTGGAGAGCTTGAGGATGTTCTAATTCAAGTGGGACACATCTACGTGCCTTGTGACTTTGTAGTGATGGATATGGAGGAAGATGTTAACACTCCTTTTGATTTTGGGACGTGAAGCTCTTAAAACTTTGGGGGCGGTCATCAACTTCAATAACAACACCATCACATGTGAGGTGGCCGATGAGATGATTGTTTGAGTTTTCTAAGTTACTCAAGACCCCCATGGTTGAAAAATGCTATAGAGTTTATGTTATGAATGAGGAGCTAGATCGCTTGGGTAAGGTCATGATGAGGCCTCAAGATTCAATGATAGAAGCTCTAACATGCAAATAAGAGTTCCATTCTTAAGAGGAAAAAGAGTTTGTCATGGCAATGGAGGAATCCTCAAAGGAGGAGTTGAACAAAAATTTGAGATCGAGCTTGAGTCCAAGGAGGAGAAATTGGAGGAGAGTTCTAAGCTTCCTCCCAAGGTAGAACTCAAGCCCCTTCCCCTTCTTTGAAATATGCTTATCTTGATAAAGAGGTCAATGCTACCCTAGATGGTCTTAATTTGGAAAAACTACTTGATGTTTTGAGAGATGTGATAGGGTATAGCATTGATGATATCAAAAGTATTAGCCCTTCTTTATGCATGCATGCATCGTATTCATCTTGAGGATGATCATTCCACCTCCATTGAACCTCAAAGAAGGTTGAACCCCAACCTTCAAGAGATTGTCAAGAAGGAAATTTTAAAACTACGTGAGGCAGGCATCATCTATGCTATCTCCGATAGCAAGTGTGTTAGCCGGGTTCATGTAGTTCCAAAAAAGGTGGGATGACCATAATCAAAGGTGAAGGAGGAGAGGAAATCTCCACCCGGACGGTGACCAGGTGGAGAATGTGTATTGACTATAGGAGGTTGAACAAAAACACCAAGAAAGATCATTTCCCTCTCCCATTCATGGACCAAATTCTTGAGAGGCTATCATACCACGCTTTCTTTTGTTTCTTGGATGGGTATTCCGGATTCTTCCAAATCCCTATCCATCTAAGCGATCATGAGATAACTACTTTCACAAGTCCATATGGGACATTTGCATACCGAAGAATGCCATTCGGTTTATGCAAAGCTCCTTCTACCTTTCAAAGATACATGACCTTTATTTTCTCCGAGATGCTTGAAAAAGAAATTGGAGTTTTCATGGATGATTTTAGTGTTGGTGGCTCGTCTTTTGACACTTGTCTTCTTAACCTTGAAAAAGTTTTGAAAAGGTGTCAAGAGACGAGTTTGGTTTTGAATTGGGAAAAATGCCACTTCATGGTCAAGGAAGGCATTGTCCTCGGCCATAAAGTTTCAAAAAATGGCATTGAGGTTGATCCGGCCAAAATTTCGGTGATTGAGAAATTGCCCCATCCTACTTTTATCACGGGAGTACGAGCTTTTCTTGGGCATGCCGGTTTTTACCGGAGATTTATCAAAGACATTTCGTCAATCGCCAAACCTTTGACTGAATTACTGAAAAAGGATGTTGCTTTTAACTTCAATGAGGCTTGCCTTGAGGAATTCCGTAAGTTCAAGGAAGCTCTCATTTCCTCTCCCGTTGTGCAAGCTCCGGATTGGAGCTTGCCTTTTAAGATAATGTGCGATGCGAGTGATTTTGCAATGGGTCTCGTGCTTGGACAAAAGAAAGAAGGAAAATCATGTTCCATCTACTATTCAAGTAGGACTCTTGATGAAGCTCAAAAGAACTATATATACAACAACGGAGAAGGAAATTCTAGCGGTTGTCTTTGCTTTTGATAAGTTTAGGTCCTATCATATTTTCTCTAAGGTGATTGTGTACACGGATCATATTGCGGTGTGATATCTCATGAATAAGAAGGAAGCAAAGCCTCGCCTAATCCGTTAGGTTCTCTTTGTTCAAGATTATCACATGGAAATGAGGGACAAAATGGGAGTGGAGAACTACGTTACGGATCATTTGTCTAGGCTACCTTTTGAGAACAAAATTGATGTACCAATCAATAATGAGATAGGATTTGAAGCTCTCATGGCTATGGATTCATCATGTAGTAAGCCCTTAGTATGCGGACATTGCCAATTATCTTGCTTGTGGAATCATTCTCCCGGAGTTTTCTTCTCAACAAAAGAAGAGGTTTTTCAAGGAAGTGAGGAGGTACTTTTGGAATGACCCATACTTGTTCAAACAATGTGGAGATGGCCTTTTTCAAAAATGTGTTTAGGATCATGAAATCGAAGGAGTTCTTGAGCATTTCCACTCACTACCATGCGAAGGACAAGGGGTTGTTGATAAGACGGTGGCAAAAATTTCTCAATCTCTATTGTGGTGGCCAACGATGTATAAGGATACCACAAGTTTGTTTCACAATGTGATAGGTGTCAAAGGAGTGGTGGCATAACCAAAAGAGATGAAATGCCTCAACAAAATGTCTTAGAAGTTGAGCCCTTTGATGTTTGAGGGGTGAACTTTATGGGGCCTTTCATTTCTTCTTGTGGAAATCTATATACATTGGTATCGGTTAATTATGTGACAAAATGGATTGAAGTCATACCCTCACCTACCAATGATCACAAGGTTGTGTTTAAGCTTCTAAAGAAGATTATTTTTCCTAAGTTTGGGGTTCCGAGGGTATTAATTAGTGATGGAGGCTCCCATTTCGCAAAAAAGAAATTTGAACCTCTTCTCATGAGATATGGCGTTCATCACAAGGTTGGATTACCTTACCACCCTCAAACCTAAGGACAAGTGGAGTTCTCGAATCGTGATATCAAGAATCTTCTTAAAAGGATGGTGAACAGATGAAGGAAAGATAGGTCTCTCAAGCTTGATGACACACTATGGGCTGTTAGGACGGCGTACAAGACTCTAATGGGAACGACCCCCTATAGGTTGGTCTATGGAAAGGCTTGTCACTTTCCTCTTGAGTTAGAATACAAGGCTTGGAGGGCCATAAAAAAACTCAATATGGATTTATCGTTGGCCGGTGAGAAGAGATTGATTAAGCTCAATGAACTTGAAGAGCTTAGAGATGATGCTTATGAGAGCTCAAGATTATATAAGGAGAAGACCAAAAAGTGGCATGACCAACATATTCGAAACAAGAGCTTTAATGTTGGAGACAAGGTTTTGCTTTTCAACTCAAGGCTTCGTTTGTTTCCAGGTAAACTCAAGTCCAAGTGGTCAGGTCCTTTTGTGATATCAAAGACTACTCCTTATGGTTCTTTTGAGTTAGATGCGGATGGTAACCAGTTTATGGTCAATGGTCATCGTTTGAAGCACTACTTTTGCAAGGAAGAAGTTGGTCGCATTTAATGTCTAATGCTTCATCCTTTGGATCCTAAGCCTCCCCCTTGATGAATTTTTCTTATGGTCAAGCTAGTGACCTCATAAAGAAGCGCTTCTCGGGAGGAAACCCGAGTTTCTAACCCTTTCTACTCTTCTCTTTTCTTTTTTCTTGATGCTTTAATTTTTCTATCTACAATTTTGGATTGATGGATTTATGTGTTTTTAGGATTTGGTTGAGTTTGAATCGTTGGTATGCCTTGACTTTAGCATGATTGTATGGTTTTTTAGTGTGTTTTGAAGAGGGGTTTTTGTGCATATTTTGTTGCAAAATGAGTATCTTTGAAAAATAAGGTGATTCAACCGAACTCCCTCAAGGTTCAGTCAAACTTTGTGAAAGGATTGACCGAACTTTCTTAAGTTCGGTCACACCTACTCTGGAAGGTAAATCTGAAAACTTTCTGCCAGAATTGCAAAAATTAAGGATTCAGAGTAGGTTCGACCGAACACATGGGGGGTTCGTCCGAACCTTGGTTTGCCCAAACATACTTGAGTTCGGTCGCACCTCCTCTGGAATTAAAAACTGGAAACTTTTTGCCTATTTTGTAAATTCAGCGTTAGAGAGCAGGTTCGACCGAACCTACCCAAGGTTCGAACAAACCTTTGTCGGGGTTATTTATTTAAAATTAGGGAAAGGGCCGCACATCATCTTCTTCTATCTTACCCTCATTCGACCCTCTCTCTCTCCTCTTCTCCTTCTCACTCTAAAACTCCATTACCACACCCAATTTCAACCTCAAACCTCCATCAAAATCACTCCAATCTCCTCTATTTCTCACTTATTTATCATCCTTCACTCAATATCTACAATCTACACCCAAAATTCCTCACAAAACTCCACCTTTTCAATTTTCCCCAATTTCTAGGGTTTGAGTGAGTTGTTATTTTTGGGTTTCTACTTTCTTCCAATCAATTGTGGTATGGGTTTTCTAGCTTTTTTAAGTTCATTTTGTCAATTTCTTATAGTTTTACCATGTTTTATATGTTAAAGTATGAATTGTGGTAAAATTGAGATTATTAGTAATGAATTGTTTGATGTTTGTGGTTCAAGGGATTTCCTTGTTGCAATTAATCGGTTGTTGATAGTAGAACTTGTTTTATAATGATTATGCATGTATAACTTGATTTTATTTCGTTTCAATGTATTTTCTTGAATATGTTGATTTCACATTAGGTTGTTCATGCTACTACTTGTTGATTGAGAAATTCTTGAGGTGGATGTAGTTTTGAGATTGTTATTCATTGTTCTTGGTGTTATGTTGAAGGTTTGTGAGTGATTATCATGAATTTAGGGGGTTATTATGCCGAATTTCACCTAGACTTTCTTAGGATTTGCATATGAATGCTAATGATCCTTTCGTTCTTGCCTTGGTTCATAAGAGTTTATTAATGCCTAGAATTGTATTATTGTTATCCTCTACATCTATTTCACAATTCATGGCTGTTACTTTCATGTATACACTTTTTTTATCTTGGAAAGCCTTTTTTTATGGCGCCTCTTTGCTTGCATCTTCCTAATGATATTCTTGGTTATATTTGTAGAGTCATTATGTTTGGCAAGGGCAAAAGCAAATCCAAGAGAAAGAGGGCGGGTGAGCCTTCAACACCCTCTTTCCCTCCTCCGCCGGGCATCAACGATCACAACATCATTGGTCCTAATGAGCATTTCTTGAGTGTCTACCTATCACTCATCTCTCGTTCAATTCCATCAACAAGGTTTTTCTTCGCTACAACCTTGAGAAAACTCAGCATCTTAGACGAAGTGGTCCGACTTGCCCAAAACTTTGGCTGGGGTGACTTTATCAACCTTTCCGCTCATAAGTATGAGCGAGTTACATTAGATTTCCTTGCTTCTCTCCTCAAGGAAGTAATAGAAGAGGATGATGATGGAAATGAACCTCAGCTTGTCATTCACTTCAGGATGTTCAATAAGGATCATTCTCTAACCGAGAGTGATCTAAATGATATCTTCCATTGGCATGCAACCAGGCTTGATCACCCATCTGAGATGACCTCGACTCATCGCATCCTATACAACGAGCAAGAGTGGTGGAGGAGCATAGCCACCGAGGCCAATTTTCGCACCGAAACTACCAAAGTCAACAACATCATCCATATTGCCAAGCGATACTTCGCTCGGCTTCTTCAATATGCCGTGTTCTTCAAGGCAAATCTTGGCTCTATGGTAAAAGATGAGATGGCTTGCCTCTTTTTGGCCGACAACCCTTAGCGCACAAAGTTCCAATGCTCCTCCACTTTCATCTGATGAGTGACATTTATGTCACTCTTAGGGAGCAGTTTTAGAGCTATTTTCGTGTTTATTTTTCCTTATTTTCCTTTTATTCTCTTGTTTTCTCTTTAATAAAGTTTCTAGTTTATTTTGGTAATTTTGGAGCACTTTAGTTTATTGTCTTTATTTTATTAATTTTAGTTTATTTTCGTATTTTATTTTACTTTATTTTCTTGTATATATAGTTTTTGTTTTATTTTTATTAGTTTAGTTTTATGTCTCTTATTTTCTATATCATTTTATTTATTTCTATTTTATTTATTTTATTTTATTTGTCTTGGTTTTGTTTTATTTCGTCCTTTATTTATTTTCATTTTATTTTATTCTTTTTTTCTTTGTCCCAATCCTTTCTCGGTGTTTGTGTGTAGGTGTTCGGGTTTCGTGTCAAGTGAGTTCGGGTTTCAATTTGAGTCAAATGCCCAAGCCCCATTTCATGAGCATGTTGCCAGCTCCACTATCACGCATCACAGCCACCACTACCCCCCGTTCTCACACCAACGCGCAACCCCACAACCACCAACAACGACAACAGCAACTCCACCACAGCCACTTCCTCACCAGCCTCTAATCACAATTCACTTTGCCATATTTCCCCTGAAAACCCACCATCAACCTTCACGCACCACCGCAACATCCCACGCATCACCACTCACACGCACATTAACCAACACCACCAATCACCCCCGTACAATCACCAATTCACCCGCATCGACCAGCGCACCTAAACCACCATCTCTATTCAATTCTACTCACCTCCATTCCCCTGCTCCAATTCGCAACACCCTGCTGCAACCACTCACCAGCCCAGCACAATCAACCACAGCAGCCGTAACAACCACCATAGCCACCAATCGACTCAACCAAGTAACAGCCACCACCACCTCCAATCTACAACCAGACCAGCAATCAGCCGCACCTGCACCACCGTCAACAACTAGCAACAATTAAGCAACCAATCGAACCAAATTCGCACAAGCAAAATGCAATTCCAATTGGGTTCGAGCAAACCGTTGAGAGTTCGGTCGAAGTACGAGTCAGAGACTTTCAAAGTTCTGTAAATTGAAGAGGTGTGGTCGAACACACTCATGGTTCGACCGAACCAACCTTGTAGTTCGGCCACACCAACCCGTGGTTCGACCGAACCATGTCACGAGCTTCGCGCGTGACTCTTAATGAAGATCGAACGGTTTTTATATGATGCTTGATGATAAACAAGGAGGATGAACGGTTGTGATTCTTTGATGAAGCTTGATGATGGATTTTGATGAATGGGGAAGATGATAATTGAAGCAGCCAAAGAATTGAAGAAGAAGAAATAGGGGTTGATTCTTTTTGGTGGGGATTTTGTGGGTTTATTTTATTTTTACTTTCTTTTTCTTTTATTTTTAATTTCTTTCTTTTCTTTTCCCTTTTTCTTATTTCTTTCTTTTATTTTTGTATTTAGTTCTTATTTTACTTTTCCTTTTTAATTAATTTATTTTCTTTTCTTTTATTTTTCTATTTTTCCTAGCTTAGTATATATACACATTTTTGGGGTAATTAAAAAATTCAAGCACCATCTATTCTACTCTCTAATTAGTTTTACGAGAGCTTCTCTCTTTAGGTTTAGGTTAGAATTAGGGTAGTTTAGAGAGAGAAAGTAAGGGTTTCACTATTGATAAACTTGGATATTGAAGAAGAAATTGATCATCTTTTCTATAGACTTTCATCTTCAATCAATGAGAATCTCTAACTCTCTCTCCTCTATTTTTATTTGCTTTATTTTGGTTATTATTTTTGTTGTTGGTATTGCTTGTTAATCATGTTTATTCATGATTATTTGTTAATTAATATCGTTATTAGCATGATTAGTGAGTAATTTGCCCATTAAGGGGATGGTTGTGGTGTAGTTGGATCTTGAGCAAGTTCTAGGGTTTAGAATTGATTTATTTGTGATTAAAGTCTTTATATGCCTGATATTCTTTAATCTTATTGCAAGTGCACATTGTTAGTTGATTAAAGGTGAATATTTGCTAACAAGAAATGGAAGTTGACTTAGTTAAGGTTCATTACTATCGATTGTTATTTAATAGTACCTCCTAGTATATGGTTCTAATGTGGAAACATAGAGGCTATGTTAGGAGAAGCCAATTGACCCCGGAAGGCGGCTAGATTGGACCTTTTACTTCGATATTCATGCATGTTTAGTTCATAATTAATTCAACTTCTATGCCGTTGTTTATGTGCAAGTGAATGTTATACCTAAACCATTTCCCTTAATGTTTTATTTCTTGTTTTAGCATCTTTAGACTTTAGTTTATTTATCTCCTATTCCGGACTAGCTTAATTGTCGATAATATTTGGTGGTGTTTATCCGTTCTCTATGGTTCGACCCCTATGCTTGCCTTATACTCGTATTAGGTTTGTTTTGGTTGTGTAAATTGTATTTGATCTAGGGATAGACAATTGACGTCGCGGTTATTCCCTTGTCATCATCCAACGGCTTTTGGACACCCGTGATAACCGTCTAAGTTACGAAATTCAAATGGGGGGCATGATCACTCTTATTGCCCAATCCTTGAAGGATAGGGCCTACAAGGACCAAATCGATTTGCTCCCCTACGTGCTCCAAAACCAAGAGGAAGCAGCCGAAGGGTGTCCACCTTATGCTCTCTCCATCATTGCTCCCCGTCAACAATGC